GGGTGACCGGGGGGGTCCGGCGGGTTACGTGCCGCTCTCTCCGCACTCGCTGGCCGGCTCCTGGCTGCTTCTCCCATCCCCTCTCTCTGCCCTGGCAATGGGGGAGCATGGCGAGCTGTAAAGAGGGGAAATGGTGCCAGTCCCCAGACACAGAGCCCTCCTAGAGGGACGGAAAGGAGCAGAAATGAGGACAAATGCTGCTTTCCCCCACTCTCGGCAGCATCAAAATTGCTAGAGTGCACCAGGACCCAAAGCTGAGGGACCCTTTTAAACCTGGGGCGTCCAAGAGAACGTCTGTGAGATGTCAGAGTGCTGGAAGAGAGTAGATCTGGAATGCTTCTCTGCAGGTTGCTCTCCGGAGCTCTGCCCTACATGGTGGAAGTTGTTCCCTCTGCTGCGTTTTTATCAGAGGTGGAAATGATAACCTTTGTGTATTCCTCTCTAGTGAGGACCAGGATGAGCTGCATTACCAGGATACTGACTCGGACGTGCCGGAGCAGCGGGATGGGAGGTGTAAAGTCAAGTGGACGCAAGAAGAGGTAAGTGAGGGCCTGACACTGGCTGGAAGCATGTGCTTTGGGACAGGTCTCTGGCATGGCACCCAGGGCTTGGGTGCCTCCACCCTAGCTGTGTCCCACTGGCCATGACACCACCTCCTGCTGTCTTGCTACTGGGGAAGACCATGAGTGTGTTTTGCTGATGTGAGCTGAGGCTTTAACGAGGCTGGGAGGTTCAGGGGAGTTTGAAGTGTAGCCTGAAGAACAAGAGCTCCAACCACTTTAACTTAAGCACATGAGCCCTGAGTGAGGCATTTGCATCCTGCAGCCCTCTTGTGAACAAAGAGGCTTTCCAGAGGATGGCTGAGGCCTCCATCAAGTTGAATCGTGCAGTGGAAATGTCCTCCCTTTTCTGTAGCAAAAGCAGGGAGAGCTGAGACTGCTGGGATCATGGCTTAGTCATCCTGGCTCAGAGCCTGAAATTAGTTGGGATATTCATAGAATCATTATAGTTGGAGGGGACATTTAAGATTATTAAGTCCAACAGTTAACCCAGCACTGCCAAGTCCACCATTAAACCATGTCCCTCAGCACCACATCTACCTGTCTTCTAAATACCTCCAGGGATGGCAACCCAGTCACTTCCCTGGGCAGCCCGTTCCAATGCTTGACAACCCTTTCAGTGAAGTTTTTCCTGATATCCAATCTGAACCTCCCCTGGTGCAGCTTGAGGCCGTTTCCTCTTGTCCTGTCACCTGGGAGAAGAGGCCAGCCCCCACCTTCCTACAACCTCTTTTCTCTTCCCTCCTCCCAGTTCCTCCACCATCTTTGTTCTGTTTGAAAACTATAACATGTCCTGTCTTCCTGGGGGCCTGAACACCAAGTAATGTGGTCTTTGTGTAGACATCAAAGCCTTGAGCTTGTGTTTGGCAGGGAATTATTTCAGGCTTCTGTTTGCCCAGCCAGAGCACGCAGTAAAGACACCCTTAGCGGGCTTTTTGTGAGCTCTAAGGATCGGCAAACCTGGGCTTTAGCAGGGTTTTAGCAGCAATATCTATCTTGTTTTCTTGTTCTCTTGATGCTGTCAGCCCAGGGGTGCCTACGGCATGTGTTGCCTCAGTGTATGTGACAGTGGATGTCTTTGTTCTTTGCAGGATGAGCAGCTGAAGATGTTAGTAAGACATTATGGGCAGAATGACTGGAAGTTCCTGGCCAGTCACTTTCCTGTAAGTGACCCCTTGCCCAGCTGGGAGTTGTAGTGTTTGCATGTTGCTTCTTGTGCTCAGTGCGCTGGTTCTGTGTGTCTGTACAGCACCTTGCACAGAGGTACTCTGCTCTGTGACTGCAGCTCCAGGCTGTGAAATGGTGCTCCTTCAGGGCAAAGAGACATCCTTCTTGCATAGAGGACTTTCAAGGGCAAATCTATTAGAGCTGGGATGAGGAATTGAGGTTTCTGTCCCTGTTTTCTCTGCCCAGTGCCCTGGTCTGTCTTCTCCATGTGCTTCTGGAGGTTTTCTGTGGGACAGCACGTGTGTGTCTGTGTGGCCTGCTGTTGCTGTAGGGGCTTTTGGAGCTTCTGGTCTAACACATGGCTGCTCTCATTGGTTTCCTAGAACCGCAGCGATCAGCAGTGTCAGTACCGGTGGCTGAGGGTGTTGAATCCAGACTTGGTTAAGGGCCCTTGGACCAAAGAGGAGGACCAAAAGGTAAGTCAGGGCTGGGAGGATCAGAGCATTGGCCTGTGACTGCAGAGAGGATGGTGGTGTCAGACCCTTGGGTCTTTTCTTGTAAATGTGGGTGATTCTTCCCAATGGTGGATGCCTGTGAGAGCAGCACTGTGCCCTGTTCTGAGCAGACTAATGCAGCCATGGTCATGATGAGCAGAAGCAGGTCTAGGCCTCTTTAGCCTTTCTCTGTTTGCCCTTATGTGGTCCCAAGAGAGGTGAAGACCAAAGCCTGGAGACGACTGTATTGACCTTCCCCTCCTTTATTCCAGTTCCTCATTTCCCTCCCACTCTTTTCAAAGGTAATTGAACTGGTTAAAAAATATGGCACCAAGCAGTGGACCCTGATAGCCAAGCACCTGAAGGGGCGGTTAGGGAAGCAGTGCCGGGAACGCTGGCATAACCACCTGAACCCCGAGGTGAAGAAGTCCTCGTGGACCGAGGAAGAGGATCGCATCATTTTTGAGGCCCACAAGGTCCTGGGGAATCGTTGGGCAGAGATTGCCAAGCTGCTGCCAGGGAGGTAGGACCTCTTTGCTCACTGATGCCTTCACAACTGGGTGGCTTGTGGAGATCCATGTGTTGGACTCACAGGATGGGGCTGGAGAGTGTGTAGGAGTTGTTAACTGTGCTTTAAAGCTCATGTAAATGGTGTTTCCTCCTGCTTTCTCTGCAGGACCGACAATGCTGTGAAGAACCACTGGAACTCCACCATCAAGCGGAAGGTAGACACAGGAGGCTTCCTCAATGAAACTAAGAAGTCCAAGTCACTCTACTTGCTCGTGGAGGTGGACGACAAGGAGAGCCAAGGTCAAACGAGAGCTGGGAGCCAGGTACTGCACCAGCACATTTGCAGCTGGGTCAGTCCCATGCTGTGCTAATGCATGTCAGAGCTGTCACCCACCCTTCTGCTGCCTCTCACACTGCCTTTGCTACAGCCCGGTGTCTACACAGACAGTCTGTGCCTTCCCCAGGCCTTTTCCAAGGCACTGGCTCTTGGGAGATCTGTCCCTTCAGGAGATAGAGGTCTATTGTGAACCCCAGTGTGCTATCCAGGCGGAGGATGGCAGTCTGCTGGTGCTGTTGCCTTCCCAATCCCAGCATCAGGTCTGTCTTGGAGACTGAAGATATTTTTGGCTCTGTTGACTTGTTACTGGTGGGAGAAGGAGGCTGCTCCAGACAATCTGGGGGGCATGGTGAAGAGGTGTATTCCTTCCCTTTAAAAAAGGAAGCAGGTGAAGTACAGCCATTTGTTTTTTCATGAAGAAACATGTAGTTTTAAAAGGCAGGTTCTTAAAAAGTAGGAATTGCAGAATTAGTGCTACCTGTTTGGCCTTTGTTCAGCTTTTTCCTGGGATGCTCTTAAGTGAAATCTTCAATTAAACAGTCCTGTGCTCGTTACATTGCATGGGCTCCTGTTCAGATGGTGTATGGGAAAGAGAAGTGAGGGAGAACAGGGATGTGAAGCAAACTGAATGGCAAGTAGGAGAGCAGGTGGAGCCGAACGTGTCCAAGGACCCTTGCTTTTTATCCCCAGGACTTGACCTTGTTCCCTTGGCTGGGCTTTCTTTGTTGTATGCACAAAGACTGTCCTGCCAAACTGGCCACTCGATATCTCTGCAATAAAGGAAGAAGACATCAGCGATGAGGAAGTGACGGGCGTGCAGGAGTTACCCTCCGAGCTGCCAGCTGCTGAACTGGCAGAGCATAACGCTGAGGGGACCCCAGATGATGTGGTGCCTGAGGATGCCTCTTCATTTGTCACATCACCGTACAAATGGGTCGTTGAAGCTGCCAACTATTTGTACCCAACATCTGTGCCAGCCTTCAATGAAGCTCTGGACATGATTGAATCTGTAAGTAACAGACCCTTGCTCCTCCGACCAATGTAGGGAAACTGATCCCTGCTGTTTTCCCTTGAGTAAACTTACTGGGTCACCTTGCTCATCACCATGGGATTCTGTGATCCTCAGGGGGCTGAGTCTGTCATTGGCTTGTGACTTCCACTGTCTCTTTTCCAGTGCTGGAATAGGCCTTTTCAGCTCTGCCAGTATTGCTCTGGGCTTGCAAATTCCCCTCTGCTGCTGTGGGAGGATGTAGGTGCTGGCAAACCCGATCTCAAGCCCTACTCCATCAGCTGGAGTGTCCCCAGCTTTCCCTTTCATAGCAGTTCAGGCCCATGCTCATGGGCTTTCCTTTCCCTCCTGTTATGGGATGGGATAGGGCATGACAGACTGGGAATAGGCCAGTATGTAGTATGCAGGACAGACCCTGAGATATTGCATCCCCTGGGATGAAGTCACCATTTCCAGTAGTCATGGAAAGGAGGCTGGCTAGAATCAACAGAGCACTATGCTGCCATCAGAGGGAAATGTCAGCGCAGCCCCCACCCTGCCTGGGGAGCTTATGAGCTGATTATCTGTGAAGGATCCACTTTGCATGTGTATAGGAGGATGGAGAGTCTGTGCCCAAGGCTTAAAGGCCCATCTGTGGGTCCTTAGGGGCTTGCTTGTATGGTACTTTGGGTGTTGGTGGGGTGGAGCTCTCAAACAGCTGATCTGCTGAACTGGTCTGGTTATTTCTGAGCTGGTTCTAGCAGTGTGGTTACAGCAGAGCACTGTGTCCAGCTGTGTTGGTGTGCCCAAGACTCTGGTTTGGTGTTGGGTGACAGTCTCTTCATTCAGCTCCTGTCCCCAGCTGCTTTTTTTGTCCCCTCTGTGTAGGGGTGCAGCTGGTGGTGCAGCTGTGCTGTGAACCCAACTGGGAAACCAACCTTGCGTAAATAGAAAAACCTGCCCTACGCACACACAGCAGCTTTCAGCTGGGCCAGTTCCCTGCTCTGGTTCTCAGCTGTGCTGGTCGCAGAGGGGAGGAGGGCTCGAGCTCTCCTTTAGCCAGGCTCCTTGCAAATACCAGTATGATCTCACAACTCCACTTATTTCACCTCCCGGTTCATCTCCGCACCTGCACCAGCTCAGCTTTCCTTCCTGGGCTGCTTCTGATGGTTTCCTTTGTGTGCAGGACCCCGACGGGTGGTGTGATCTGACCCAGTTTGACCTCCCCGAGGAACCCTCTGCCGGCAGCAGCAGTAGCAGCAGCAGCAGCCCGGTGAGGCAAACCCCCAGCAAGCCACTGCCATCCCTGCCCAACGTCACCGAGTACCGCCTGGACGGCCACACCATCTCCGACCTGAGCAAGAGCAGCAAGGGGGAGCTCATCCCCATCTCTCCGCACGCAGAGGTGAGCTTTGGCACGCCACCCTCTGTGCTGAAGAGGCAGAAGAAGAGGAAGATCTCCCTCTCCCCGGTCACGGAGAACGCCACCAGCACCAGCCTTTCCTTCCTTGACTCCTGCAACAGCATGACGCCCAAGAGCACCCCCGTCAAGACACTGCCCTTCTCTCCATCTCAGGTATGGGGCGATGGCAGAGCCCAGTCTGTGCTCCTCTGCTTGGGCTTGGTCATGAGCTGATGAGTGTGCTGGTGCTCTCTCTGCTTCCCTTAATGTGTTCCCATCAGCTCTGCCAGCTTTGTGTTTCTCCTCCCTTGAATGGGGGACAGGGTGCGTGTCTCTGCTAAAACAAGGTGCAGAGCTGGGTTTTGGCACTGCTCATCTTCAGCGATGCCCTTCCTGTGGGAGCAGCAGCCTGTGTCCACCTCTGGGAGGCTTGTAGTGTCAGGGAAGCCCAGCTGCCCTGTGTGACGGGCAGGACACGTGCTTGCTATGAGGAAGGAGCACCACTGTGCACACCTACGTGCCTGCCTGCTGCAGGATCACTGGGGAGCATGATGTTTCTGTCCCCAGGGCATTACTGCCACAGCTGTGGGTAGCAGAGTGACAACAGTGAAAAGTGGCTTTCCCTGTTCGTTCCCAGTTAAATCACGCAGGCAGGCTCAGCAGCACACACTTTGTGCAGATCTCCTGAGTTGCTGTGCTTAAGAAAATGCTCCTGGGCTTGTCTTCGTTGCAAAAGGGACTCAGGATATTTCAGCCCGTGTCACAACTCCTACAGCATCCACACAGGTGTGCACACCTGGTCTCCAACATACATCACCATGGAGCACTGTGGTGTTCAAACCCACTGTTTTGTGAATTGATGTGGAGGAGTTTGGTCTATAAAACAGAATAGAGGCTGCTGAGCTCCCACAGCTGCTCTGTCTGCCCCTGCCTTCCAGGCCTTTATTTCTGCTGTTTCTGCAGCCCTGGGTGGCACATGAGAGAGCACCACAGGACAGTCTGACAGTCAGGTTCAGGTGGACCTCAAGTGCAAGGCCAGCAAGAACTGGGAAATGAGAGTGGGACCCAAAATGGGCGTCTCTGCTGAGTGTGAAAGGCTGGAAGCCCTGGAGGGAATTTTAAAGGCAAATGGCATGTCCTGCCTCTTGGGTTGAGTTTCAACCATCATCTCTGCTGAGTGTAAAAGGCTGGAAGCCCTGGAGTGAATTTGAGAAGGCAAATGGCATGTCCTGCCTCTTGGGTTGAGTTTCAACCATCAGTGAATGTAACAGACGCAGCTCTTCTCTCCCAAGGCTACAAACCTCATTGCTTATGGGAGTGAAGTTGTCACTTAATAGCTGTTGTGAAATAAAATCCTAGCACAGGTGAGACAGTTTGTCACTTTTCTCACAGTTTAAGCTGAAGACAGCTCAGTGCAAAACGTGTTAACTTGCACGCTGTTGTGTTACATGAACTTCCCTCACGTTTGCCAACCTGAGGTTGGAATAGACCTTTGGTGGACTGGCATTACTTCTCCTTCAGCATTTTGCTTGGCCTTATCTGGATCCCTGTGGGGAGAGACTTCTCTCCCACCCTGTAGCTGCTTGTGGTCACATTAGCTCATCCCTTATAGGAAGTGAATAACCTTTGTTATTCCTGTTAACCTTCTGGCAACTCTCATGTGTGTGTCCATGTAAGGAGTCTTTTATTTAAGAGTCACCCTGGTTTATATTGGGACAGATCCCTCTGGTGCCAGTCAATATGAGGGGATTGTCCCTACTCAAGTTTTCCCCCACATTTAGGAAAAAGGTAATGACTTGTAATACTATGCTGGGATGCTTGAGACTGAGTGTGTTCTCTTTCTTTCCTGTGCTGTGCAGTTCTTAAACTTTTGGACCAAACAAGATACACTAGAACTGGAGAACCCGTCTCTGACCTCCACGCCTGTGTGCAGTCAGAAGGTGATTGTCACTACCCCTCTGCACAGGGACAAAACTCCTCTGCTCCAGAAGAACTCAGCGTAAGTCTTTTCTTCCTTTTCCTCCCCCACCCAACCAGCATCCTTTTCCACACAGGAGTTTGGTCCAATTCAAATATACTTCCCTCGGTACTTGTACTAGAGCTACTGAGAGAGGGGTATAGCAGGTTGGGGTTTTCACAGAATGCTTTAGGTTGGAAAGGACCTTAAAGATCATCTGGTTCCAACTCCCTGCCCTGGGCAGGGACACCTCCCACCAGACCAGGTTGTTCAAAGCCCAAGCCTGGCCTTGAACCCCTCCAGGGATGGGGCAGCCACAGCTTCTCTGGGCAACCTGGGCCAGTTCCTCATCACCCTTGCAGGAAAGAATTTGTTCCTGAGATCTCATCTAAATCTCCCCTCTTCCAGTTTAAAACTGTTCCCCCTCGTTCTGTCACTCCCCTCCATGATCAGGAGTCCCTCCCCGTCTCTCCTGGAGCCCCTTTAGGGACTGGAAGGGGCTCTAAGATCTCCCTGGAGCCTTCTTTTCTCCAGGCTGAACTCCCCCAACTCTCTCAGCCTCAGAGGGGCTCCAGCCCTTGGAGCATCTTTGTGGCCTCCTCTGGACCCACTCCAACAAGTGCATGTCCTCCTTATGTGGTGTTTCCCAAAGATAGCTCCTGTCTGAGCTGCAGGGGACAAGTGTCCCATCTGACTGGGGCCACAGCCAAGTGACCACTGTTCTGCTCAGCTGCTGGGTAGGCTGTTACCTTCTGTGTGTGTCTCTGGGAAGCAGTGCAGTGCTGTGAGCCCCATGCCATCAGGGAAGGGATTTGATTTTTCTCAGGAGCTGTTCAGATCCGTCCCTTTAGCTCTTCACCCTCTGCTTTGCCTGACCTGAGGGGCAGTCCCGGGTAATGATTTCCCAGGGCTCTGTAACAGGCAGGTGGGAAGGGGTGGTCTGTTCAGGGAGTGTTTTGCTGGCAGACTGGAGCAGGGCAGTGTTTGGGGGTGCTGGCTGTGCTAGCAAAACTGCTGTGGTGTTGGCCTGGCCCAGAACAGCTCCCCTGTGCCGGTGGTGTAAGCTGGCTTGGCCAATCCCATCCTGGGCTGCATCAAAAGTTGTGTTGCCAGCAGGTCCAGAGAGGTAATTCTTCTACTTTACTCTGCTCTGGTGAGACCTCACCTGGAGTATTGTGTGCAGGTCTGGA